GATTAAAACATAGCAAGGCCAATCTTTAAAGCACTTTCAGTCCATTTCCAAATTAATTTTGGTGCAGTTTAGGAGAAATGTGAAGGACTTCAAAGAGATCTAAACAAACCAACAACGGATCACGATTTGATGTCATTACAGTTCAGTACATGTTTGTGAGGAATTTCTGGCACCCTTTTGACTGCTTTAAAATTTTTATAAGCTCTTCTAAGTAGATCTCACGAGTATTGGTATTCATTTCGGTATGCAGAAGTGTGGTTCTACAAAACATACACTTACTCCCTTTTAACTGATAATGAAACATACAAATATGATGCATAAAGGGTGTCAAGAGTAAATAATTTACTGTAAATTAGGTCAGGCTTCACTTTAAGGTACAGTTCTCCCTATTAATGAAACAACATTACGACTTTTAGCTTAACAAACTCCTAATTTGCTGCTTATTAACAAGACTACACAAAATCTGCACACGTAGAAATCCACAGATTTTAGCCCATCATTGAGTCTACATTGTAAAACCCAAAAAGTTAGGGTAACTCAAACCTTTTGAGGAAACCAATTGCTACAAACCATTTACTGTAAGTTTAAAAACTAATCCTAGAGTACTGTGAACGTAAATAAAGTAATTTGACAGTACTCATATAGATTTATTTTTTGACTCAAATGGTTTGTTGCAATCGGTTTCCTCAAATGGCTTGAGTTACCTTAACTTATCGGGTTTTACAGTCCTCAGTTGGTTTGAGTTCTCTTCATTTATTGGCTTTTACTGTGCTCAGGTTGCTTCATTTACTCAAATGGATTAAGTTCACAGTACTCATTGGGATTAGTTTCTGAACTTAAATGATTTTCTGCAATCGGTTTTCTCAAATGGTTTGAGTGACCTTAACTTTTTGGGTTTTACAGTGTAGTTCTTGGTACCTTGGTGCTTTTTGTTAACATTTATTATTTATTTGTTTAGCATATACATTTTCACATTCTGATTCCAATGCCTAATTATTAAGTTGCTATAATTCAATTAATAAATAATAAAATATAAAACTGTTCTTTGTAAGAGTGTACTTGCATTATGATGTTATTATTATGTTCATACTTGCATTATACGAGTGGCATCATTTGATTTTAAAAGGACAATAATATCGTTAATTGCAATAAATTGTATCAATATATCGTACAACAAAAATGTTATATTGTGACAGGCCAAAATCCAGTAAGGCTTTAAAAGGTATTCATTTACACCAACTTTCTCCAAGGGGATTATATCATGCAAAATGTCTAAAAGCTAAAGTACACATTTCAAAACAAGCATGGTTGGCTTTCTAACTGACCATCACCACTCCAGATAAACAAATGTGTTTTCCGCTTTTCACCACAGCCCTCGGAGGACTCATTCAAACACATGCTGATGCCTCATGCATCTCTGAGGAACAACCGGTCATCCTTTTTTTATCACACCAACATGACTAGTGTTACACAACATGGGCCTGTGTGCTCTGCGGCAAAGGCAGTACTAAAATGACTAACATTTTCAAATCCACCATAATCACATACACAGTGGTGCACACAGGAAATGCATCACTTCTCTAAAGCAGGAAAAGACAGGACAGGCTGACGTTTCCACCAGCACAATAGAGAACCTCTCCATTAACAAATAGAGCATATGCTAAAATTAGAAGACAAACAATTAAGAAAGCAAACATATAAAATGACTGACAGGTGATCTTCCCTCAAAGATGCAAGTGGAGGCACTTTGTAATGACCACAAGTATGGCAATCACTCACAGTATTGCCATCTACACGAAGATATAAAGACAAATAACAACATGAAAAATATCACATATGTTTAACAGCTTTAAGAGACAGGCATGTAGATTAAATTCAATTCAAGTTTATTTGTATAGCACTTTTCGCAATAACTATTGTTAAGTACACTGGTTGCCTAAAATCTTTAAGCTGAATCAAATTGAGTCCATTGAACTTATATTACAGTATGTTAAACTGACTTAAAACAACTAGCGTAACTTATAAAACTAACTTAGAACATAATTAAAAGTTAAATAAGTTACAATGGACTAAAAACATATGCCGTTATGACTAAAGCCTGGTTTATACTTCTGCGTCAAGTGACCGGCGCAACTCACGGTGCAGGCATCGCGCGCAGCTGTGCATTTATACTTCTGCGCGCTGTCTCCGTTGGTCTGCATTAACACTTCCGAAACGCTAGTGGGCAGTGAGGTGTAAATGTTCCTTTGTGTCGAGTTTCTTCGCTTCTTTTTGCTATTGTGAACACTTCCTGGATGTACAAGTGACTCAAACTCGCTCATTTTGAGGCAGGAACCGGCAGACGTGCAACAACTTTAACCATGGGGTAAACAAAGAACAAAACTTTCCATCCGGAGCTCCTTTACGGGACTCCACACTTGTAAACAATCGCTCGCGCCATTCGCGCAGGCTTTCGGTCCCGCCCAGACTCGTCGGCGCTAGCAAGCCGACCAATCACAGAGCTTGCGCTACGCGTTGTAGCGACGTGTAGTTACAATTTTTGAGAGGTGCACGTCAGTGACGGCGATGGCCACAGCGAAGGGCTATGCGTCAGCGCCGTAGCATACGCCGGTGTTTGATGCAGAAGTATAAATCAGCCTTAACTGATCAGATCAGTTTTTACACTATAGTTGCAGACTAGACATAAGTCGACATTCAATATATTGTGATAAAGAACATGCACGATATTGATATAATGGGGACTTTTTTGAGTGTCGTTTAATCATTTTCAGTTTGTTTTTTTGGCAGGGGTTGTTCATGAAAGTACTGAAAAGCTGAAATAGGTTAATATGCTTAATAGGGTGCCTATTTTTAAACATGAACAGTTTTGCATGTTAATCTGGCCTACAACTTTGAAAATTCGGTGACTATTTATAGACCTTTTGTTTGATAACTCTGCAGAGCCATTGTTGAGGAAAGTTACTTTTAAAAGTAATTAGGGTTGGGTCGATAGACGATGCCATCGTCCATGCCGGCATCGCGTTCCTCCGTCGCAAACCCACTCACGAAAAATACACACAGCCCTGTTTCCACTAATACGTCTTAGTTTTAAAATGACATTTTACAACGAAAAACAATCCACATGCACACTGGCATTTCATCTAGCATTTCTTAACAGCCCTCTGTCCACATTATACAGCTGAAAATGCAAATCACGTGACCACACAAACACACACACTGTCATGCGCTCATCTGAGCTCCAGGCAGTCAGCGGGTGCTTTGAGCACAAAACCCCAGCGAGCAGTGCATATCAGACAGTTTTCAAAGATATACCATTGGGTCACATCTCATTATAGTTGTTAAACGTGATATTTAATTAATCTTGTCTCTATCTAACAACTGAAGAGTTTTAAATCTCTTAGTTAACGTGTCACAGCATCAGTACACTACTTAGTAATTTTAGCGAAAACCTCAGATACTGTCTATTGGTTCCTGTTGGTTGTGCACCTTTTTTACCAATCAAGTTTGATGACGCCATTAATAATGACACAGATCACTCTGCCTATTCATGCCAGAGACTTGCGGGAAAATTAATTGACAGGTGGTAATTTGTGTGTAACTTATCTTTATTTATTTATGATTTGGTTATCGGTAAAACAAAGACCATACGGGCCAGGTAGTTAAAACACTAGAGATACAAATAAATAATTTGTTATGAATTAATAAATTATTCATAAATAATTATTGACCGCCACCTACGATGAAGATGCCATTGTCCATCACAATATTTCACATTAGACATCGTACGATGCCAAACTGGTTGACATCGCCCAACCCAGACAGTAATGCATTACAATATTGAGTTACTCCCGGAAAAAAAAAAAAAAAAAAAAAACTAGTTGTGTTTCTCAGTTACTTTAGGTAATGCATTAGATCACTTTTGTGTTACTTTTTATTACCTGACTGAGGTTTGATCTCTTTCAAAACGTGTTTTTTTGTCCTATTTTAATGCACGAGTTCTGCCATTAATAGCATACTGTATAACCTACATCTTTAATTACCTTTAAAAGTCACATCAAAAAAATATTTTAGCATAATGTTATCTGAAAGCTTCCTGACCTCAAAGCTGTACATGCAGCAAGTATTTATTTTTAATACTTTTATTTTTATTTTTTACAGCTTATTAATTAAACTAAAAAGTAACTCAAGTTACATTTTCAAAAAAAGTAACTCAAGTTACATTTTCAAAAAAGTAACTCAAATATTGTTACTTAATTTTGAAAAGTAATGGGTTACTGTAATTGTTACTTAGAAAAGTAATATAATTACGTAACTCACATTTCTTGTAATGTGCTACCCCCAATATTGTGTACAGCATACGTAATGACAACTATAAATGCATTAAATAATCTTAGCTGATGTTATTTTCATAGTTAATACCTAATAACACTTTAAAACAAAACTTGTAATCATTTTTTAATTAAGTTAATAACTAAAAACAATTCAGTTGTATTTTTTTATTGAACATATAACTATAATATTGTTATTTCTCATTGACTAACATTATTTGATTTTATTGTAAAAAGTTGTTACCTATAGACCCTTTTCACATTTTCGAATTTCTCAGCTGCATAAATAGAAACTCCTCGCATAAGCGGTAATTCATTTTTTGTCATTTGACACAAAGATGATAATGCATTCATAAATGCATATAAAGGTTCATACGGTTTTAAAAATATATATAAATATGAAAAACTTTAAAGGATTTAGGAGTATGATGACCGATAAACACAACATAACAAAAGACAAAACACGTCTTGTAAAAAAGGTCCAATGTACTTTATCATCATTTTGCTATTTAATTTCTTTAAAACAGTTATTTACTCTTAACATTACATAGGCCCACAGTATTTTTTGTTACTGTTAAATGTTAAGTTGCATTAATATCGCGATAAAAGGAACAACCAAATTTGATACTATTGCAGACACAAAGGTACAACACTGAAAACAAATATGGATACCTGTGAGATGATGTATCTTTTCAGACATTCTTCACAAACAGCCTTTTTGCAACAGTGTAGCGGCATGATTTGTTTATCGTCAAGACAAATGCGACATGTCAACACCACAGACAAACTGTTGTCAGCATTATATGAGCTGTGTATTCCAGACACCATCAGGTCAGAGACGGTATAGGGCACTGGGTAGGGATCATGATTGTCCAATTCTAAGTTTGGTAAGTCGGTGGATGGTAAAACCAGTACATCTGGGGAAGAAGAAGATGAAGAAGATGATGATGATGATGATGATGAAGTCTCGTGATTGGATGTTGTTTTCTGAACAGGTATCCTATAATTATCATTGGCTATACAGTATACAGTGCAGTAAACATGCTCTTTTGATTGGCTGGGATCTTCGCCACTCTTCAAATCAATGTTATAATCAATATGATGATTCCCATCAGGATTTCCCAATTCTGGATTGCTCTCAATATCTTGTTGTAGATTTATTGTGCTACATTGCAACCTTTCATCATCATTTTCATGGTCCAAGTCGTTTAGATTGATGTCATTTCCTACTTTCTCTAGATTTTTGGGATCTTCTGTATCTCTGATAGTGGAACCAAAATTCCTTCTTAAAATATCCACAGCTCTTATGTTTTCCCTCTCGATATGTTCTCTGTGGCCGCCTCCTGGTCCATGTTTGTGTTTATGAAATTCCAAAACATCCTTCGAGGATAATGATGACGATGACGGCACCTTCGCCTCACCGCTGCGGACATCCTGGCCGAAATCAGTGCTCCGTGTCCCGCTGGATACATAGACAGATTCCCCGTCGCGTCCGGAATAACCGGGCATATTTCGCGTGGTGTCATTCACTCGCACGGAAGACTCATCTTCCATTCCTGAGCGGTCAACTTTCCATTTGAGCGAAAAACACACACAGTCCGGTTTCAAACTCACAAACTAAAAACACCGAGTAACAACTAATACACCACTTCCGGGTGCTAAATAGCGAATCCTACTACGGCGAAGCCTCGGGTTATGAATATTAACTATCTTACGTTGACGTTACTTGGTAACGATCCAATGACACACGTCTATCTCATGAATATTAACTATGCGGCTTTGACGTTGTGTCTTTTGCTTCCAATGAAACATTTCCTAATATTAATGAAAATCCGTCGTCAGCATAGTAGGATTCGTGAGCTCACCGTCGAATGTTATGCTTCTTTCGTTTATGCTCGACTAGGTGAGAACTATTACTGTTAATAACCTATTAAATGCGCATATAAATTATAGCACAAATAGCTAGTTATAAGGTGTTTGGTTAGATCTACAATATGCAATAAATACATACGTAAAGATAAAAAACTGACGTTTTACATTTTAAACAACTGCATGTGACTGAAGTCATACTCTTTATATTAAAATGTACGAGTGATTAATACTGTAAGCTTGTACCGTTTGAAATATGTTCTAGTCTCAAAACAACAATCAAAGCATACATCAGAATGAGTCCTGTATATATAACATTGCTACCTGGGGAAAACCACAGAAAACAGACGCTTAAATGTCATACAATAATAGTTTACATGTCAATAAATAGATACAGATAATACAGATGGATGGATGGATAGTACCAAAATACCACTTAACTGTATATTTTTATGTAACTATCCTTCAAAGCTTATATCTAGAATAAAACTTAGCATTATCACATTATTTTCTATTTCATTTTTTCATTGTATTTGTTAGGTTAAATAATGACATTATTTTTCTGTGCAGAAGTTATTAAAACATTTAAACAGATAATTTACTTGCTTACTTGCTTTCTTTTATATAATAACTCATCTCATAACTGATCTATTTTTATCTTTGCCATGATGACAGTAAATAATATTTGACTAAATATTTTTTCAGACACTTCTATACAGCTTAAAGTGACATTTAAAAGTTTAACTAGGTTAACTAGTCAGGTTAGGAAAATAATGCAAGTTATTGTATAATGATGGTAGACTATCGAAAAAAATATATAGCTAAAAGGGGCTGATAATCTTGACCTTAAAATGTTTTTTAAAAAATTAAGAACTGCTTTTATTCTAGCTGAAATTTAAAGACATAACTGTGTTAATACGGTTAACTAGACAAGTAACAAATAAGACTTTCTCCAGAAGAAAAAATCAGAAAATATCCGAAATACTGTGAAAATGGCGACGTGGTGGCGCAGTGGTATAGCACGTTTGCCTCACAGCAAGAAGGTCGCTGGTTCAAGCCTTGGCTGGATCAGTTGGCATTTCTGTGTAGAGTTTTTGCTTGTTCACCCTGTGTTAGCGTGGGTTTCATCCGGGTGCTCCAGTTTCCTTCACAAGTCCAAAGACATGCGGTACAGGTGAATTGGGTAGGCTAAAATTGACCATACTGTGTGTGAGTGTGTGTGAATGAGAGTGTATAGATGTTTCCCAGTGAAGGGTTGTGGCTGGAAGGGCATGCACTGCGTAAAACATGTGCTGGATAAGTTGGCGGTTCGTTCCGATGTGGTGACCCTGGATTAATAAAGGTTTAACATGCTCTGTTAAACATAATTTGAGAAATATATAAAAAAGATATTTTTTATATCTATATAAAAAATATATAGACACTAATTACCACTAATTAATTCCTAAATTATATCTGGTTAAACATTTACTCAGTAAATTTAAAAAGGATATTGATATAAATTGCTCTTTTTGTTCTTTGCATTGGTAAACTTTACCCCCACATCTTTTGGCACTGTGGTTAAGTTAAAAAGCTTTGATATGATGCCTCTGTATCAAAGAAAAGGTACTCTTTAATTTAAATTAACATTTTAAAAAAATAATTTTTGGATATTTTAATTATAATAATCTGAATAATGAAGTTTTTGATATTCATCTATTCACGTTGTTGATTTTTATCATTATGAGTGTAAAATTTTCAGCACCAAAAACATTTTTTTACTGAGTTTTATAAGGAACCAAAAAAATATTTTGTCACTTAAAGCTGTATAGAAGTTTCTTGAAAAATATTGAGTAAAATATTATGTCCTGTCATCATGGCAAAGATAAAATAAATCAGCTATTAGAGATGAGTAATTAAAACTATTATGTTTAGAAATGTGCTGAAAAAATATTCTCTGTTAAACAGAAATTGGGGACAAAGAATAAACAAGGGGGCTAATAATTCTGACTTCAACTGTATATATATCCCCACTCTGCCAATCTTATCTTGATTAAATCATAAACACTAGAGGGAGGTAGAGTGTAAGATAAAACATCTCCATTTGCTCGCCTTAGATTGGTTCCGCTTCAGTGCTTTTGAATGTTAGAAAAAGAGACATGAGCAAATGCTGAGTGTGATGTTTCCTCGGAAAAAGTAAAAGGTAAATTAACCCAGTAATAGGTCACTTGGGTATATTGAAGATGCTGAATCAACATTTTGCTCCACCTTGTTGATCTCCTTTAGGATAAAAAGGCCCCAGGGCCCCTGATGATATTTGCACATTCACAGCAACTTACAAGGACAGAAATAAAAATAAAGCTGTACACTTCACCTATAAGCAATTAAATATCAAAACACGTTATGTGATATATTGCTTGGATTTTTTAAACATGTTTTACCACATACTGCAGCTAATATATTTTGTACTTTAAGTTTCTAACGTGTTTAGCAAATTCTTAGCACTTCATTAACTGGCTTTATTTTGTTGGTCCTCTACATTTAATTATATTTTATTTAGAACAATAAAAATATTAGATATAATTTTTTTAAATAACTGGTTTAATAAAAATACACTTTTAGTTAGCAGCTTTTAGATGACCATGGTGTCCTTTTCTCATATGAAGAATGTATGCATCAGTTCCCCCTAAAGAATATATAATTATTTTTGGTGAAATTCCAGATTGTGTTATACCTTTAGTCAAATCTGGCTTTAAAGGTTCTATAAATTGTTTTATTTTTGACAAGATAAACCTTTTTGCTGACCAAACTTTTCTCAGTTCATTCATTCATTCATTCATTCATTTTCATTTTGGTGTAGTCCCAAGGTCACCACAGCGGAATGAATCACCTCTTAACGTTCTACGTCAAACTATTTGCTTAGTTAGTTCTCAGATCTCTTTACCTGCTTGCAAAGGTTTTTGGAATAATAGATTTGGTGACATGGATTGGGAATAGTTTCAAAAGATTTTTATCCAATCTTTATCTAAATCTAATAGATTTGATCTAAAGCTGTCAAGGTCTCAATCACAATCATTCATAAGTGCTACCCAATAAATACCAAACTAGCTAAATTTAATATCAACATTTCCCTTAAAAGCTAATTTTTTACTCAATATGATGAATCACTAAATCATTTATTTTGGGAATGTAATTTGTCTACTGGCGAGGCAGTGGCACAGTAGGTAGTGCTGTCGCCTCACAGCAAGAAGGTCGCTGGTTCGAACCTCGGCTCAGTTGGCGTTTCTGTATGGAGTTTGCTGTGGCGACCCCGGATTAATAAAGTGACTAAGCTGACAAGAAAATAAATGACTTTGTCTACTGTAAAGTACTCTACTTTGGGTTAATTTTTCCAATTTTATTAAAATATATTCTTATTTCCAAACATTTGTATATCCCTAAAACTTTTATTCTTTGAATACTGCCCAAGCTTAGACCCTTCATTCTTGTCAGCTTAGTCCCTTTTTTAATCTGGGGTTGCCACAGCGGAATGAACCGCCAACTTATCCAGCAAGTTTTTACGCAGCGGATACCCTTCCAGCGGCAACCCATCTTTGGGAAACATCCACACACACACTCATACACTACAGACAATTTAGCCTACCCAATTCACCTGTATTGCATTTCTTTGGACTGTGGGGGAAACCCGCGACCCAGTGACCTTCTTGCTGTGAGGCGACAGCACTACCTACTGCGCCACTGCTTCGCCCGAGCTTACTGTAGATCCTTCTTATTGTAAATGTATTTTTTTAATAGCTGTTTCTAACATTAATTTTCAAATTTAGATATTTTACAAATGACATGATCCTGAAATGTTTTTGCTAACAGTATATTGTTAGCATAAAGCAGTGTATTGACTTAATTAGCATGTTTTAACATGAATTACATGCTGCTAAGGCTACTGTGCAGCTAATGTTTCTATATCCTTTGCTACATGACTAACATGTTTTAATGTGTATGGTAACTACTTTGAAAGCTTTTAGATTTATAATAGTAAGCAAATGCAATTTTTAGTTTCAAATCAAAAAATATGCTCGTGTTTGACAAATCCCAGTCTCTGTAGTGACAATTTATAAAAGTGTGACACGAACCCGTCATTAATTAATAAATCGAAATCATGGTAATTAGTTTTGCTTAAACGTCCATCTGTTAAGGGGCTAATTAAAAAAATTCTAAGGAGTGACCATCTGTTATTATCTGTGATGAATCTAAGAGGGGTCGCAGTGTCGCCGAACGCACTCAATCTTGCGTCACACGTTCAAAGCCACCAAATCCTGCTCGACGTGCAGGCTTGATGAAGAGAGAGCGCCTCCCTGGCTTTTCCTTAAGACTTCTACAGTAGTTACATTCATATTCGTATGCATTTTAGTGTCTAAGCTTAGATGGATTAAAAAAGATGAAATCATAACAATGACATCATGTCCTGGGTGATTTCCAGAGTATTGCTATGCGGTTGCAAAGGTGTTTAAACTATGGCAAGCCGTTTAAACATTTAATTTATACAACATGCTAGCATTTATTTCACACTACAAGTATTTTTTTAGATGCTAGAATATTTTACATTAAAAGAACACCACTTAAAAATAATAACAATAATTTTACAACCTCCCTAAACAGTTAATTTTTAACGATTTACACACATTCAGCCTATCTCAGAGTCTGGCAGGAGCACTTTTAGCTTAGCCTAGCATAATCATAGAATATGTTTAGACTGTTAGCATCTCATTGCACAAACTCAGTTC